TTCCATTGTATGTGGAACTGCTAGGACCCGGGCCAAATGAAGAACATGAAACTGAGTTTTGTCGTCGGTGGTATGTCTGTGGGCTCATTCTCCTCTTCCCTCCTCCCCCCCCCACCACCCCAAAATATCACTGCTGTAATGGCTAAGTGGTCCTCGGATTTGATTCCGAATTATTTTTGATTCTAACATGTGTATATACTATTCTAAATGAAAAAAATGTGCGCAGAAGTCTAACGGCTTCACTTCTTCAAACTTCGCTCTCAGAATAGTCAGTCATCAAAACCGCTTTCTAATCATTTCAGTTTTCATGGCCCAGATTACGCAAGGTCAAACAGCTAATAAAGGGATAAACAAGCGAAATCGGCGGCTAGGGCGGAGCAACACCGGTATAAAACGTAGGGAATGTCACCGGAGAGCAACACAATGTTCGAGGAAAAACTCATCGTTGGTGTGGCTTCGGCCTGCTCAATCCTGGCCATCGCTGCCTGCTTGATCGTGGTCCCGTCGCTCTACAACACCATCAACGAGATTCACGATGAGGTCCTCGAAGCTGTTTCTGTGTTCCGCGTCGAGACTGACTCTGCTTGGAGCCAAATGATGGACTTCCAAGTCACTGTCGCACCACCGTCAAAGCCACGTGAGAATCCATTCGGCTCCATCTTCCGATCGAAGAGACAGGCCGGTCTTCCTTCTTACTGCCAGTGCACGACTCCAACGGTCAACTGCCCACCTGGACCACCTGGACCTCCTGGACGACCTGGAGCGCCTGGTTAGTTACCATTTTACGGTTTTCTCGAATTTTCAAACTAAGAATACAATATTCAGGACAGCCCGGAGCACCTGGCCAACCTGGTAACGACGCCACTACCACCTACGCTCCCATCAACTGCCCACCTCCCAACACCGGTTGTGTTCAGTGCCCAGCTGGTCCTCCAGGACCACCCGGACCGAGTGGAGCTCCTGGAAACAAAGGACCTGATGGTAATCCAGGACGTCCTGGAGGACCCGGGTGAGTTGATGGCGGTACCAGGTCCAGCAGAGGGACCCTCCCGCGCGAGAATGCTGAGCATCCGGGAGAATACCTGAGGATCGCTGCTGACAGCCTGGAGAGCCTGGAAGACCTGGTACTAGTGGAGCTGGGACACCTGGAAGACCAGGACCTGCTGGACCCATCGGAGCTCCAGGAAAAGCCGGAGGACGCGGAAATAACGGCGCTCCTGGAAAATGCAGGACCGGGCGCTGGTCGGGGCGCCTTCATGGTCAGTCAGCCAGGAGGACCAGGAAACCCTGGAAGAGATGGTCAGCCCGGAAGAACTGGAAACCCTGCACGTCCAGGAGGCGATGCTGCTTACTGCCCATGCCCACCTCGCTACGCCAAAGCTGCTGCTCGTCGTGCTCGTGTCTGATTTTCTGCATTTCAATAAATATTTTAGTTTTTGCCTATTGTACATTATCACAACGAGAGTGAATGAGATCATTCGCGATGAAAGGTGAAGAACCTCTGCAGAGCACAAGCTCTATTGGAGGTGGCAAGTTATGGCCAAGTATACAGAACATCACCTTCTTCATTGAAGAGTGCTTTTTATAGGCATTTATATGAGCTCGACATTTGTATGAGCACGGAGAGCGAACTGCAGAGGCAGAAGGATACAGTTCACAAGAAGTGTCGCTTACCAGGTCCACCTCGATCACTTAAGAAAACCATTTTTTCTACGCCGTCTCATTCATTTCACCTTGACCTATCGCGCGCCTACCATGGAACGCTTGAACTGTACTGAAGACCGTGTACCAGTAGAGCAGGAACTCCTGGAAGACCAGGACCTGCTGGACCCATCGGAGCTCCAGGAAAAGCGGGAGGACTCGGAAATGACGGCACTCCTGGAAAGGCATGATAACCTGGTCCGGCTGTTCAGCCAGCTGCTGCTCCTCGTGGCTCGTGTCTGATTTTCTCCAATCTAATAGAAAATTTTAGTCTCTTTGTGCAATGTGCAATGTTTTTTAAGAAAGTTCACCCATAAGCGAAAATCACAAATAAACTCTGACAAGGAAAACACAGTAAGGGGATAAAATCGAAATTCCTGCGAAGTGGAGGCGAAATTCAACGCAGATAGACAATGTTCGCCAAGACTGCAAGTCCATGGAAGCAAAACTAGGACTGCGGACACCAACTTAGTAGGCCGTCTACATTGCTGATACCACTCCAACGGACGCACACTAGCTTCAGTAGTGGGGAGGTCCGTGGAACATAGCATGAAGAAAAAAGCAAAAATATCAGGCAGAAAACAAGGGGTGAAATGATGGACACATCATAAAGGCTTACGTTCAAAAAATACGCTGCGAAGCATAATTATACTTCCACCACTAAATCTTACAGAATCCCCCGTCTTGCACGACGTTTTCAAGAATGCCCCCAAATAGAAAATGTTATAATTACTAATGCCAATCGCACGCCAACACCCAATACTCAAAAGAACACCTCTTTTTCTTCAGTTTTTTTGATAATACACGTCAGCTCGTGACCAATGGAGCAAAATGATAGTTCAACTGAACAACATCCGAATAATCCAACAACAAGTGTATCAAACGTGAGATAACTTTAATCGGAGGGTGGAATCTATTTGGAACTCCATTTCTCCGAATACGTTGGAAAATTTGATTGCTTGATTAAGAGTTTACATAGGCTTTCGCAGACTTGCGGATGCCATCATGCGTGGTTTACCCGCCAAGCCCAGAGCCGGAATGATGCGTTGTTCGCATTGATCATACCACAGGCTAATGCTCGTTTGGACTCGCAGCGATTTTCGGCCACCGAGCTCATTTTTTAATATGTCTAACGTCCATCCAAACCGCTAGAAACTTGAAGTTATAGGGTAGTTTCCACATCTGACTCAACCGAATTGACAGACAGCCTCTGCCGCTGGCGCTAATGGATGGGCTACTACAATACTCACGATCATCCTCCTCATCTGCGAGCTGAGGGCCCAGGAGGTAATCGTAGTGTTCATCTCTTTGCACCAGCGCCAGAAATGAGCGTCGTGCTGATTGATAATCAACGATGTGTTTAAATAACCCTTGTGCGTCTTAACATGTTTTTATCGTGGTTTGGTGACTTAGGCAATTTAAAAATGAGCTCGGTGCCGAAATTGCTGGAGTCCAAAAGGCATTAGCCATACGCACCATCAAGCCCCTCACATTGTCGATTAGGCAAGTCGGGGTTACTCGCTGGCCAGGGCAAAAGAGAAGTTTGGTGACGACTACAGCTACAAACTAATCTTGCTCCAATCGTTCGGCAACATCTAGCAAAGCCAATTCGGTTTTCACGATGGTTTTCTGTTAGAAACGGTGCCTTCCTCATATTCCTCCTGTGGGTGAACTCAGGAGTTTTTCAAGACACGCCTAACAGTATCCTTCGAGACATTAACCTGCGAAGATGACTTAATTTCCCGACACGACACTGCAGAGTTGGATGCTTTCCTAAGGATACGGCTTATTCCGATCGGGCAGCAAAGGAGGATGTCCAGAGCTCTTCTCAACTCAATATCCTGTAGGTCCTTGACAAAATTGTTGATAGCATGATGAGTGCGGCCCAAATCCCGTGCGATTGACGGTTCGACAGTCCTTGAGTCTTCTTTGCGATAATTTGCCCTTTTTCGAAGTCTGAATGGATTTCTATTCGCCACAGCCTAGAAAAGGCAAAAAGTCATAATGATGAGAAGTTTTACCTAACAAAAATGAGATGCAGCGGGAAAATATGCGGTGGAACTATCATTTTGCTGCATTGTCAGAACGACCATTTTTGAAAAAATTGACGAAAAAAAATTGTTTTTCAAGCTAGTGTTTGGTGTTGGCATGCGAATTGGTATTGGTAATTACCACATTTTCTGTATGGGGGCATTTTTGAAAACGTCGTGTAAGACGGGATTTTGTGAGATTCATGGGTGGAACTATAATTATGCTTCGCATTGCAGGTAGAAAGTAGGTAGAAAGTAGACAAGCAAAGATGAATCGCATCTCAGCCTTGCTAGGGAGACGGTAAAGAGGATCGTAATTTGCCGCACCGCCACGCGCGGCGATGGGCGCGGCGTTTTCATAACTCGTTTTAACCTGTCGAATGGAGCACCGGACTTCATGTAGACAGTCAGTCATTACTGTTTTCGGTCCTTAATTGCATGTTGTCGCCATCTACTACCTGGAACCATCGTCCTTTGCAGACGAGACGTCGCACGCGACGCCCAGCAGCGCGGCAATTACGATCCTCTTGTCACATACCCGGTAGAAAGTAGGTCGCTGGGAAGTGAGTCACCGCGCGCGGCGATTACATGCTTTAACATGTTTGCATGTTTGAACATGTTCACTTGTTTGGACATGTTCTTGGCAGATGGAAGATGAGGAAAAGAAAGAACGGTCCAAGCAAACT